TAATCGGCAGATTAAATATGTCAGATTCTCCTTATTATCTATTCTTTGAATTCTAGCTATATTAAAAAATTATGTTTTTTATTTGTCAGCTATAAGTCTAAATTATATTATTCAGTTAAGGAATAATACAGTTTATATAACTTTTATAGAAACATTTATTCAAATTGTTCGGTAGTATAGAGGTATCCCCGCCAAGATTCTATATGTTAATGTACCTGACCAAATACATAAAAAACTATTGTACCAAAAAAAAAATTGCCCCGCCTGTCATGCGGAAGACGCTGGAGAGAATTTAATTTTTTTCTTTTTCTTATATGTGTACTTCGTACTCTCTGTCTAAAAATGTTAATAGGGTCATGATCTCGAATACTTCGACCGTAAGATACAATAGCATGCAACAGTAACATATATTTTTCAATTGCATTTGATTAGTCACTTCTTATGAAGTAGCATGCTGGCGGGCAATTGCTCTGTTTACTGGGTGCGGATTGTTTATGCGTTCCATGAAGTTTCCATATTCGTGAGGTTAAATGTCATTAGATTCTTTCCGAAATCTTCTTCACAAGATAAACTCTCAATGTTAGTTTTGAGAATTGCTATTCCTCATGACCTGCCCTATATTCATTTGTTTAGGTCGATTGATATCATGAAGCAACTCCTAACTGTTTATGAAGAAATAATAATTCTATGTTTTTTCATTACAATGATTTTTATGAAGAAATTACAATAATAACACGTAAAGCTTGTCTATTATATGAAATTGTTTAACGGCAAGCACTAAGTGACCTGATATGAAATTTCAGTAGTCATGCACGCAGTAAAGGAACTGAACAGTGTTTACATCTTAAGCGCTATGTAAAACTATATATCAATTATTTAATTTGACAGACAAAATCCTTAAGTATCATCTGACAGACGGTAGTAGCATAATTTATCAGTTTATCCACTCGCGCTCGAATAATTAATGCATGTTATGAAACACCCTGCTTGTCGTCAGTGCACTGCCTGACTTGCCGAAGGTTTGCATACAGTGATGTATCATGCGGTTTTCTGCTCTTATAAACTCTACGATTATCGAGTACAAACAATGGAAAATATAGATTTATAAAAACACAATTAATTCTTCGACTTCAGCAGGGAATCAGCTACGCTTACCTTCAATTTGTGTAATGTAAATTGAAACACAGAGATATCAGTAGAATATGTGTAATCAATATCTTCAGATAATGCTATAAAATGCAGTAGGAAGGTCCCCCTTAAAATTCCTACAGTCATTTTCTTCCAAAAAGCAAATAGTATAATATAGCAATAGTATTAATTT